CGGCCGTCCAGAAGCCGGCAACTGATCTGCCTCACCCGGGAAGAGCGCAATGATGGCGCCAACTTGGGCCAGTGAAGCAACATCCTACACAGCTAGACTGAAGAACAAAAGGATAGCAACTTGTCTGTTCCTCTTCCCCCAACTCCCCAGCGCTGTTCCCATCCCTTAATTCCCCAATAAAAATCTTAAAAAAATAATAATAAATAAATAAATTAAATAAAAAATAAAAAAGAGTATTTGTCTGTCTGGATTCTTTAGAGTTGATTTTAGAAGCCACGAAAGAAAAAGATGGACAAAGCTCCCTGGATCCCCATCCTACTCACCCCACTCCTACACTGTCTTCCAATAGAGAAGCTCTGCCTTTATGTGACATTCTGCATAAACTTTTATTCTTAAAAAGTTCCACTGTTAAAACTTTAAGCTACTATGTAAAAGTACCTACAAAAAGACAGGAAAAAGCATGTTTTTTCTACACCATACATGTTTTTCACCGTCTTCAAATGAATGATACAAATCTTAGATACTGCACAGCACAAAAAGATTTCATTCCAGTATAATCCCCCATTTCTCATTTTGTGTGTAATTTTCATTGTCATTAATTTATTTCATTTACATTAATATAGACACATATTTTAAAAACTACAAATAATACATAAATGAATATTTTTGTTTTGCATATAAAGTCACTATTTATGGTTTTAAGCTGCTATTTGACTGTTGGGGCTGACAGAATATCAAGTCCAAAAAGGTACTTACAGAAGGTTTAAACAGCTTTTTGTCAGAAAGAAAGGCTTCTCGAAACACTTTTATAATCATATTTAGTTCCCGTAGATACTGTCTTTCTTCTGCAATTTCAGTTCTAACGAGGTCATAGTAGTTTAATTCACCTGAAGAACTAGGTTCATCTTCACAGAGAGAAATCAAACCTATGTCATCCTGATCAAACATGTCCATCAAAACCTGAGAAATAAATCAATAATGCATAAACTTATTTTCCTTACTTTTATAAAACCACTTCAAAGTACTTGCGATTAAAACATTAAAAATGAGTCATATTATAGGCTAATATATATGAAAAAAATTCAAATCAAGAGAAATTGAAATGTTGAATGGGAAAAACAAATATTTCTGGAAATAAGATAAACCTAATAGTGAAATATATATATATATATATGTGTGTGTATGTATCACAAAAAAGAGCATAACTTTGGAGAACAATCCAAGCCAAAATACTAGTACAGCCACTTACTCATCTGTGATTACAGATGATTCTTTTAAAAGTCAGACTTCTTACATATAAAAGATGAAAGAATTCAATGAGGTAATGTACATAAAATACATACTATTATGTCTGGCAAATAGTAGGCACTCAAAATGGTAGTTGCTTATCCTACCTACTATAAGGATGGTTGTATGGATTTGGGTAGAGTTCAAAGGAGAAAAAATGAAATGATACTGTAGTAGAGGCACACAATAGGTTAAAAGTGTGATACTTTGATACATATTTACTATATCAACAACTGTTATTAAATTCATTTGTTAAAACCAAGCATCCCACAGATGCTTTAATTGCTAAAGCAACAATTTCCCCTTTCAGAAAATAGTAAAAGATTGCTACTACAGACTTATGTGAACCAACCCGTAAGAACTAGATGTCAATCAAAAGCAATAGGAAAAAGGTGACCATACTTTTTCGAATAAAAATAGTTAATAGAGAAAAATTGGACCTACCTAATTATATAGTCAAGACTGGCTGAAAACTACTTCCTTAAAGTTCAGGAAAAAAAGGCATAATCCCAAAAAGGAAGCTCCAAAAAGTAAAACAACTTCAAAGGGATAAGAGGAAATTCTGACAGCATATTGAGATATTAATTCATTCATTCTGAAATTGTTCTGATCTACTGATTACCAGAAATTGTGCCAGATGTTGGTAAAATACAGCAATGAACCAAATAAACAGGAACCCTGTCCTCCGGATCCTGTTGAATCAAACTCAGAACTATTTCTTAAATGTGGTACGTTTTTTCCGTCCCACTTCACGCTTTAGACTATTAAGCAATCACCATCTCTTATAAGGATACGCAAGTCCTGCAATATAAACTCCCTGCCACTGGTCTTGCCAGTCCCATTTCCAAAAATTTGTTCCTAAAACCAAATTTGTGTCATACCATACATAAAAATGATACTAGATTTCCTTGCCTTCAGCATAAAACGCTAATTTTGTAAGGATAAAGGCCGTTCACAATCTAACGCTAATCCATATCACTAGCCTCACTTGTGACACTCTGAAATCTCTCTCCTCCTCACTGCCCCCTCCATACAACCCACCTTCTTGCCACTGAACATTGTCAGCCCCAATTCTCAGCACTTCAGATCTCTGAACAACCCTCTGGGGCTGCACAGGGAATTAGTTGATGAAATCTGATTTTAAATATACATGCAAAAGAATGAAAGACATGACACAGGCTAGATCTGTCTTCCCCATCAGACATTTTTAAAGTAGTCTATACTTGCTTTCTTGAACGTCTTACTCTCATTCTCTTCTCAAGCCCATTACTCTACTCAAACTGTTCACTAATGACTTCCTGGAGTCTTCTTACTTGTTTTCTCTAGTTACTGATACAGTTGACAATTCTTTACTTCTTAAAACTTTTCCCCCTTGGCTTCTGATATATCATTCTGTCAGTGGGATCTCCTTCTCAACCACCCACCTTCTGCACCAGAGCTGCACGGTTCCGTTTTTGGAACTGTTGGTCACGCAACACCAAAGTCCTGAATGTAAATGCTATTAAGGGTCAGGCAGGTAGGTAACACTGTGATATACAAGAAGCAATAAAGATTGTGGCAAACTGGAAGGCGTGCGCACCTGAAGAGGAAGGGCATTGTTAAATGCCAGCTATTTGGTCAGGGTTTTGATTTTCTTTTTTTCAAGAAAAGTATGAGATTTAGATTTTTATGTAAAATTTTCAGGTTTGTAAATGTAGATGGCAAATAATTCAAAAATTTAAGGAACAAACCTGGAATCCCATTTACTAGCAGGTCACCAGTCTGACATGTCTGCTGTACTTTCTCCTAAGTGCTTATGCTCTTAGATGCTTTCCAATTACTCTGTAGATGATGACTCCTTAAATGTTTATCTCTAGCCTCAGCATCTCTCTGAACTCTGGACAAGTGTTATGAAAGGCTTGCTAGTTATCTCCCTGTCCGACCAAACCTATACATGTATACTCCACCTCAGAGTCACTAATAACACCACCACTTAATTGGTCATCATAATTTGTCATTAGACTTACCACTTCTGCTTTTATATCAAATCAGTCCCCAAATCCTGTTAACTGTAATTCAGAAATATTTCTTAAATCTGGTCAGTTCCTTGTATTCTGCTCTGTCTAGAATGTCTTCTTTTACTTCCTTTCCAACTATCACATTTATTTATATGACAAATACCTACCATTTTCATCACTTAGCTCAAACATAATTTTCTTTGTATAAGTAGCTTTTCCCACTCTCCCTCACTTTCCTCTCAGTCTTTCCCACTGGCTTCAGTCCTCCATTAGCAATCTTCTCTCTTTCCTACTTGTACTGAAATTTCTAAGAATTAAAACCATGATTTCATCTTAAAATCCACAGCATCTGACACACAGTAAATGCACAAAAGACTTGCTGAAAAAAATACATGTATTATTTATGTTTGCAAACTATTAGACTTAGAAAGAAGGCTAAAGCCCTAATGAATTAAGGATCAGAAAAAAAATGTTAAGACAATAAAAAGCATTTTTGGTCATGTTCATAAGACGGACAATAAAGAAGTACAGCCAATTATTGGAACAGGTGGAGTAATATTACCATGCATTAAAAAACAAAGACTTCAACTCTTACTACATTTAGGGTTAGAGAAGTAAAGTTCTTCAGAGCAGCTCTGTGCTCTTATTCTTTTGCCTTTCTTAAACATTAATTTTCCTCTTAAGCACATATGTTCTATTTTTCCAGTCTGAATATTATTTTCCTTAATAGTGACAAGCATAGTAGGGGTTGAGCTATACAATTCTTTCCTGTGATCGTCTAACTATTCTCAGCAATCTTTGATGTGACAGAATACCTCATATAGTGAAATGTTGCTTTTATTTTTAAATGTAAATAAAAAAGGTTGATTCCCAAAGTCCCTGTTTAGCAAATTATATTACTTTGACTGGCAACTTATACAGATCCCTAGAAATCAGTTATTCAAATAGTTTATTAAACAGATGGTTTGTGAGCTCTTGAAATGGAGATCACTAGAAAGTTTAAATTTACTAAGATCACACCCTGTCACACTATTCTCATTATTTCACTCACATGACTATACTCACAAATAGTCATCTTGATTTTAAGCTAAGCATACAACAGTCTCTTGAGACAAACAACAATCATTGTAGAAAAGGATGGGCAAACTATAGCCCACAGGCTATATCACACCCACTGCAATAGTTTTACTAAAACATAGCCCACACTCATTCATTCATTTATGGCCACCTTCCTGTAATAAAGGCAAAGACAAGTAGTTACAAGAGAGATTGTATGGCCCAGAATATCTACCCTTTGGTCCTTTATAGATAAAGTTTGTTGACGGTTAAGTTAGACAAGAGGTGAAACAGTAGCTGACTAGAAGACCATAATGGGAAAAAAAGTGGCAATTTATTCCTAGAAGGAAGCCTCTAATAACATGAGAAATCTCATTTCTTACATACTGGTTTTTCCAGTATTTTTAATAAATAATTCCAACTAAAACTAAGTTTCTCAGATTTGCAAACATTTAAAAAACCTGGCTAGGATATATCGAAAATGCTGAATGACAAAATTCTATTTTTGTAATATCTTGATATGCTGGAGCATAGTCTCAATAACAGTATGAAATGTTCTAGGAATAAATTTGACTTGAAACTTATAAAAGAAAATCAACAGCAAGTTGTAAGAAGTCAAAGAAAACAAACTGGAAGAATCAAAGACATAACATAATAGTACCTCATGTGAAAAGTCCTAGGGAGTTTTGACATCTGCAAACTCAATAAGTAAGCAGAGTGACATACATGTCAAAAACATTAATGCTGAAATTATAAAAGAATAACATAAAGAAGGAAGGCATTTCATCATAGTCTGTGTTAGACCAAATTTAGATTGTTGTCTTAGTTTTAGAAATCACAGGCTAAGAGCAATACAACAATGAGATCAGAAAATCATGTCACATGAAGGTTGTTTTTTAAAGTCTCAAAAGGTAGATCTAGTACATGAAAAAAGGCTTCAAATAACTAAATAACTTATTCTGAAAAAGTTCGTTCTTATTTAATGTAATTCAGAAGACAGAATTAATGAATGCAAGTTAATAGAGAAGTCAACTATAACTTTGTATGAGAAAGATATTTCACCTAATGAGAATTCTATAAAAATAGATGAAGTTTTTTAAGAAACGAGTTCCCTAGCCCAAACAAGCTATGTGATGATTTGTCAGTTGGTTGTGATAATTTGGTCTCTTGTAATTTTGAAACTGTTAATTATTTAGAATTTAATTGCTTCTGCCTCTAAAAAGAGTTATGGAAAAAGTGAACCTCAAATATAGTATGAAGTCTCTCCTTTCCATAGCTCCTCAAAAATTCTGTCCAAGGCTAATGGGTGGGGGAGGAAGGGGCAGCAAATAAGGTAGGAATCTCTGCAGGGTGACGGTGGGGAAAAACTGGGGTGGCCCATCCCAGGGTGACATTCTAAACAAGTCAGGAGGGTATCTGTAGTGAGGGGCACAACCTGACACAGTATGTTAGAGATCAACTAAGATAAGAGACTATCCATATGACAGGGCAGCTCTCAATGATGGGTGCTGGAGAAAGTGGTCCACAGAAGCAGTCCAACATGGGATTGTCAGAGGTTTGAGTGGGAGGGTAAGGAGAGTGTATAAAAAGGGAGGAAGGGTTTCTAAGCCAAAATAGAATTAAGGAGGGTGCCTACACCACTAGGGGAAGAGAGGCCTTCTGGGAGATTGAATACATAGAACTGATTAAATAAAATATATTAAGAAAAATGGGAGCCAAGTTTCTTACTATCAGAGAAGTGAGCTACAAATATGAAAAGGGGGAGCTAAAATGAACCTATGATATTGGATTTGGTTTGAAGAGATCTGTGAGATCTCATAAAAATAAGAATAAAATTTAGATGTATATGTGTATGTATGTGTGTGCGTGTATGTATGTCTGTGTGTGTGTGTATATATATATATATATATATATATATGTATATATATGTATATATGTGTGTGTGTGTGTGTATGTGTGTGTATGTATATATATCCCCTAACTCTAGCATCTAAGAGACCAGAGCAGTGACACTCAAATAGTAATAAGGTCATTTAGCACCCAGATCTTGGTTTCTAAATACCATTCTCCACTAAAAGAAAGCAAGATTTTTTAGAAAACAACTAATTCCAGGCTTGAGCAGCAGGTAAAGAACAAGTTGAACCTAGAACATCTTGTGTCAAAAGAGAGTGTTCAAAGAATGACAGGGACAGAGAAGCCAACTTGAAGGGGCTCTCACTGGTCAAATCTGGTGAAATTTGAGTATCAAACTAAATAATGAAGTAATGGATTATGACTGATTAAATAAAACATGAATCCAAGAGCCCATATTAAAATAAACAAATGAATAAATTTAAAGTATGATGAGGAACAAGATATTTACAGTCTCAAAATATTCCACAAAATATTTATTTGTAATTACAAAAGGGAAAAGAGTACTTCAAAGTAGAGAAGCTTGGCAGGCAACCCCTTAATTAAATGATCAAAGTGAATATCACCAATAATGGGACACATCGCAATTGTGTGCTATGGGAGCAAATGCAGTGAGAAGAGCACAGCATTGCTTCTATGATACTCCTTTCAGATCCATAACCTGAATCTAATCAAGAGAAAACACCAGAAAAAACCTAAAGTAAAGGGCATTTTAAACAACAATTGGTGTAATACTTAAAAGTGTCAAGGTTGGGTGATCAGTTAGCTCAGTTGGTTAGAGCGTGGTGCTGATAACACCAAAGTTGCCGGTTCAATCCCGGCATGGACCACTGTGAGCTGCGCCCTCCTTAAAAGAGTCAACTATGCCACTGTAGCATGAAAGCAATGTGCAACCAATGACCATGGCTGTTCCCCAATAAAAATAAAAAAAATTCTTTTTTAAAGTGTCAAGGTAATAAAAGTTAAGGAAAGAATGAGGAAATGTTTCAGTCTGAAGGAAAAGATTCATGACAACTAAATGCAATACATAATTCTGGACTGGATCATTTTGTTATAAAGGACATCATTGGGACAACTGGCAAAACTTGAATGGGGTCTGTGAGTTAGATGGTATAACATATCAATGTAAATTTCCTGGATTTTGACTGTCATACTGTGATTACGTAGGAGAATGTTTTTGTTTGTAGGACATAAAGCTATGTTGGCAACTTACTCTCAAGTGGTCTGGGCACAGGCAATTTTACTAAAAGTCTGAGATAAACACAAAGTAGTAAAAAAAAACACCCATGTAATCATAATTTTAGAAGTCAAAATAGAAATAAGGAATTTCTGTTGCTATGGATTTTAAGTGAAAAATCATTTTTGAGACTAGAGCACAGCACAGTGGCTCTCAATCATAACTGCTTATCAGAATCACCTGAGATGCTTTCCAAAAATTTGAAAATACTAACGCGTGGAGACCCAACTCAGGCCAAGTAAATGAAAATCTCTGGGGGTGAGACGCAGGCATGAGTGTTCTTTCAAAGCTTTCTGGTATGCGATCAAAGTAGAGAGCCACTGGCATGTGCCAGGTCCTGGGGGTCCTTCACCCTTAGAGGTCCAGTTGAGGTATCTTCTTTGTGAAATACTCCTCATCTCCCCTGCACCAGTGTTGATCATTTTCTCCACTACAGTGCTGACTTATTTGTTTAATAGTTTTAATTACATTGTGCTACTTATTTGTTTACAATATTTTTATTTCCCACTAAAATAAATTCTAACACAGGGATTGCTGACTGGCCCACAACAGGTACTCAAAAATGTTGATTTAAAAAGGAAGAAATAGAGGAACAGAAGTAGAAAGAGAAAAAAAGGAGGTGAGAAAAAAATACTCCATTTCTTCCCTCAGTAGCTTATAGCCAGGAAGAAAGAAGTGTAACAAAAAAATTATCAGAAGGAAGTAACTTTGGCATTGCAATGTCTTTTTCTCTCTACCTGTGTCCCATTGAACTATTCTATGAAACCAAAGTATGTTTTTCAAAATTACTTCAAAGTATCTAAATATTCTGTATATAGTCTCTTTCTAAAAATATAAAACTCAAAGTACTTTTCTTAAACTGGCTGGAGGCTTTGGATGTTTTCTCCTATAGGTAAAAGATGCTTGATAGAGAGAAGAGATTACCATCCTGTCACATGCTGAAAAACCTGGAAATATCAGAGTTATGTAAAGCCAGCATTTTTCTGTCTTTCAAATCCAGGAATTATAAAGATTACTAATGATGTATTTAAAAAGAGGGAGGTAGAAGTGACATATGCATAGTCACTACTATTCAAGTTAAATTTAAATACCTTTTAACACTTACCTTATCTGCACACATTGACACTTTAATGTCCTGCTGAGATATTTCATAATGTCGAATATTAAAAACATAATTACCAGCCAATTTCAAAATATCAGCTGAGATATACTCTAGGACAGCCACAATATATAAGGACACATGGTAGTCCACTTTGTACCCTAAAACTTCCTGTAGGAAAAAAATAAACAATTTAATTCTAAAAAATGGCACTGTAAGTACCAATAAAACACTTAAAAATTTCATTTAACATTCATATTTACAAAGAATTTTCTATAAACCAAATGTCTAAACTTTCTAGTACCATAGGATATCAAATGAGTTGTTGGTCCCAGTATCAGGGGCTTCTTTAAAAGAGACATCTAACCTAACAAATCTGCCTTTAGCATCAAATAAGAGATAGTTAATTATAATATACGACTAGAAATCTTGGGCTGGACTTCAATTAAAACCTCTTAATCAATACATTATCCAAAACCCATTTGACAAGTATTGTTATCTTCAAGAACCTTGCTTTAACCAATATCCCAAATTACAATGGTTTCTAGTGAGAGGATATGTGCATTGGGCAGGGGGAGGGGAGGGAGTGTCTTGAAATTGCTACCAAAGGGTATTCAAATCCATGTACATCAAGTATTTTCTATAGATTAAATAATATTCCATAGTCTACTTTCCAATGTACATAAAAATATCTGTGGGCCGGCTGAGTGGCGCGTTGGTTAAGGGCTGGCTTGGGAAGCCAGCTCTGAGCAGCAGGGCCCCAGTTCAGATTTCACATGAGGGCCAGTGACACTGCACCCTATACAGCTAAGATGGTGAACGATAGCTCGACCTGGAGCTGGGCTATCATGAGTTGCTGGCGATGGCATAGGCTGCAGCCCCTGCTGCAGTGGGCTGCCATGAGCTGCCATGAGCAGCCATCCAACGGCCGGCGAGCAACTGCCTCAGCTGGGAAGAGCGCAATGATAATAACATCATAGGCCAGTGAAGCGACGTCCTCCACAACTAGACTGAAGAACAAAAGGACAGCAACTTGTCTGTTCCCCTCCCCCAATTCCTCAATAAAATCTTTAAAAAAGAAAGCTACTGTGAGTTCAGAACTGGTTTTTTTTGTTTGTTTTTTTTCTTCAAGCTGAGCCATCCTGCCACCTGTTGGCAGCTCAATGGCTGCTCAGCTCGGGCCGGGCATCGAACCACTATTGCTCAGAGCTCGCACTCTTGAGGGAGCTCTTAACCCACTAAGCCACTCAGCCGGCCCTTTCAACAGACATTTTTCTTTTTTTTTTTTAGCTGAGCCATCCTGCTACCTGTTGGCAGCTCACCGACAACTCAGTTCGGGCTGGGCATCGAACTGCTGTTGCTCAGAGCTCACACTCTTGCATGAGCTCTTAACCAACTGAGCCACTCGGCCAGCCCAGAACTGTTTTTAAATTAATCTATTTATCACAGATATTTTTTTGGTTTTTTAAAAAGATTTTATTGGGGAATTGGGGGAGGGGAACAGCATTAGGGAATCGGGGAAGGGGAACAGACAAGTTGCTGTCCTTTTGTTCTTTAGTCTAACTGTGGAGGATGGCTCAATGGCTCATGCTGGTATTATCACTGTGCTCTTCCCAGGTGAGGCAGATCAGTCGCCGGTCACCGGATGGCCGCTCACTGCAGCTCCCGGCAGCCCACACCAGCTGCCAGCCACTCACAGCAGGCCACGGCAGCTCACTGCAGCCCCGCTGCAGCCGGCGGCCCATGGCAGCGCAGGTCCAGCCACCGTTGACTATCTTAGCTGCAGAGGGCGTAGCATCACCGGCTCTAATGTGGGGTCCGAACCAGGGCCCTGCTGCTCAGAGCTGGCATTCCAAGCCAACTCCTAACCAATGGGCCAATCGGCTGGCCCAGAACTCACACTAGCTTTTGACATGTATTTTCTTAATCAAGAAAAGGCTGAAAATCAGTTGGGGTAGTAGTCATTAGAAGATGTCACAAAGATGCATTAGTGTTTATCATTAACTTAATATTATTTGAAAGACAATATGATTTTATCAAAGTATATTTTATTTTGTACACATATTAACAAATACATACCGTATTTCCCCATGTATAAGACATACCCTTTTCCGAAAACTTTGGGGTCTAAAAACTGGGTGCGTCTTATACAGTGGTTGTATGAGCACAAAAACAAGCGCGAAAAAAGTGGGAAATGCAAGTAAAAAAAACTACAACCACTGTATAAGACACACCCAGTTTTTAGACCCCAAATTTTTCGGAAAAGGGTGCGTCTTATACGTGGGGAAATACGGTTAAGTGCACATATACAATAACATAGACCATGCTATATAAATATTATATGCACCAATATTATATAAAGTATTATTTGTTATTAAGAACTTCCCTAATGTTTGTTTTACCTTCAGTGAAGGATGGATTTTGTCCACAGGCAGTAAGAGAGGATTTCTTCGTTTTCGTTTCTCTATAGCAGACTGTGCATCAGCAATAGCCCATTTATCAATTGGATGAGGAAAGGTCTTTTGAACTCGTTCCTGTTCAGATCATAGCAGTACTATTGTTAACAGAAGTGGTCATAAATAGAAGATTTTTACAAAATTAAACTTTATCTCCATCTTTAAACCTAGCAGATAATAGTAACATAAAATTTTGATTCCTGTAATAAGTAAAATTAAAAAAAAAAAAGTTCAGCAGGACTATCAAGATTTTTCCACCTAATTCCCATGGGTGAAGAAAAAGGTGAAATTTTAAACAGAAAGCTTTAAGTATAAGCATAATTAAAATGGAACTGAGAAAAAGAAAAAGTAATAATATTAGAAGAGATTATAGCTAGCATGAAATAACTATCAGTGATTTTACAGTAAGGTTTCTAGGGTTAAAATTGTTTACCTAGCAGAAGTTGTTAACTCATTATTAATAATTATTATGCAGTCACTCTCCTTTTGCTAATGTCAGAGCTTCAAATATAGAGGACAGTTTTAAAAAGATGGCATGTACCTCTTATAGGATCGAGTGGGTGGTGGAGCTCAGAATGGCTTAAGGAAATACACCTCTTGGCAAAAACAAAAAATCCAAGCCTTTTAGGTTACTATTATGGTTCATCTAATCCTAGTGATTGGCATGAATAATGAGAAGTAATAATGGTGGAATTAAACACCAATTTAGAATTTCCTACTTTTAAAATTATATTCTTAGCTTTTAGCACATTTAGATACTGAAAAGTATGCTTTTATTATGTTTATTTAATGTCTAATTCTGACAGCAGAAAATAGGGAAACAAATGCTTTAATTCTCAGAGTTCCTAAAAGCTTAATAGCTTAATTATTCCAAATTAAGATTTTCCTTCATACTGGAAGTTGTTGTATTATAAACAATTTTCAAAAGAGAGGTGATGTAAACAGTATTGTGCAAAATTAATTTATGAAAGGTATTTCTAAAAAATCTAAAAATACACCCATGAAACCAAGCCACACATATTTTAGGTGTGTACGTGTGTGTGTGTGTGTATTTGTGTGTGTGTGTATGTCAGTATGTGTGTAGTAATCAATCAATCAATCAATCAATATCCTTAAGATTTATACTAATCCCTTATTGAGGTAATATTTATATGCAGTAAAATGCGCAGATCTGAAGTGTACAATTCAATGAGTTTGGAAAAATGCTTACACGTGTGCAACCATCACCCTAATCAAGACATAGAACATTTCTACCATCTCAATCTCCACCCCTCACAGGCAGCCACCCACCATCCTGACGTCTATCACCATTAATTTTACCTGTTTCTGAATTTCATCTAAGTGGTAACACACAATATGTACTCTCTGGGGTCTGGTTTTTTTTGCTCTATGTAATGTCTGTGTATTGAAGCTATGTTACTACATGTATCAATAGTTTGTTCTATATTATTGTGGAGTAGTATTCCATTTTATGAATCAACTAAAATTTGTTTACCCACTTTCTTGTTGATGTAATTTTGAGTTGTTTTCAATTTTTGGTTATTATGAATAAAATTGCTTGGATATTCATGTATAAGTCTTTTTTTGAACATATATTTTTTATTTCTCTATTTTTATTTCTGTGTGTATACTTACACCTAGGAGTAAATCTGCTGGGTCATAGGCTAGATATATATTTAACTTTATATGAAACTGGCAAAAAATTTTCCAAAGTGGTTATACAATTTTACACTCCCACTACTAGTAATGTAAAGAATTCTAGGTGCTCTCATCTCATCAGCAATTGGTGTTATGTCTTTAATTTTATCCCATTGAGTGAACGTGAATTGGTATCTCATTATGATTTTAACTGCTATTTCTCTGATGACTTATGAACTTGAGCACCTTTTCATGCATAATTGGCCATTAGCAAATATTCCTTTGATGAAATGTCTGTTCAAGACTTTTGCCCGTTTGGGTGAGCAGGGTGGTTGTTTTTTTATTATTGATTTGTAGGAGTTTTTAACATATTCTGGATATAAGCCCTTTGTAAGGACAACATATTGCAAACATTTTCTCCTAGTCTGCGACTTACCTTTTTTTTTCATTAATTTTAGTTGTTAATGTTTACTGCATTTGAGTCCTCAGTAAAAAAAAATAAAATTTGCTTAACCCCAGGTAATGAATATATTCTCCTGCATTTTCTTTTAGAAACTTTATAGTTTCAGCTTTTATGCTTAAGACCATGATCCATCTTGAATTAATTTTTGTGTGAGATAAGTTTAAGGGTTTTCTGCCCCATAAATTTATCCAGTTGTTCTCGCACATTTTTTGCTAAAAAATTTTCCTTTCCCCACTGCACTGCCTTGATACCTTTATTGAAAATGAACTAAGTGTATATATCCCATATGATTTCAATGGTTTTAGTTTCCACAATAATTTAGAATGATATATATTTAGATTCAAAAATTAATTTGTACAGTGGTTCAGTGACTTTTTGAAATAACAAAATAGTTTTTACCTCCACATCTTGGACAGTCCTTGGTTGTGCCATGCATAATTTATTAAGCAGCTGAAAAATCAGCTCTTCAATATAGTAGAGAGACTCTTCAGTAGCTGAGAGATTGGGGTGTACTTGCTCCTGAACCTTTAAAAATAAAGTTCTCAGTTGACATACAGGCAAAATAGTATTTACTGAACAAATGTCAGAGAATCTTATATATAATTAATATTTTACCAAAATGGTTACTCAAATACAGACATAAAACACAAAAAAAAGCAAAAAAAAAAGCACCTGTATTTGTTGGTCTCTGTAAACTTTTCTTAACCCACAGTGCAGTGGTTCTTAAACTTTTTTGGATCCTATGAAAATCTTTTGGCCCCTCTCCTCCTTACCACTCAAAAAGCATATATACATAAAATATTCTATACAATTTCATAGAAATCATATATATATATAGAAATCATATATATATATATATAAATCATACACACGTACACACACACACACACACACACACACACACACACACCCTGAAGTTAACTAATATAGCTACTAAAATTCTATGAACAGGGGCATCTGAATAACCATACTACTTTACAAATTATAGAGCTGCTCTAGGAAGAAGTAGATGCTAATCAGTTTCCTTTTACAATGGTATAGGCTCCTGATTATTGTCACATAGCTGTGCTGAGCCTTTTTTGTTGTTAAGTTTCTTAAATTCAGAACCTAGTAATCTATCCTAAAAAATAATCTAGTCAAAATGGATATGAGGAATAATAAGGTAAAAGATAGTACCTACCATATAGCAGATGTCATGTAAATATTTGTTGAAAGAATGACTGAGAGAAGTACTATTGTAACTTTATGCCATGGTATTAGGAGGATATAAGTGCCACTGACATAAAAAATGGATATTTTAAAGTCTCATGGTTATTTAGAAAAACTGATTCAGTAATTAAAAACCTTCCCACAAAAAAACAGGATGAAGGTGACCACTTAATCTAACTTCTCAAAATTTAACATAACATTGTTCATTACAGCCTCTTGCAACTTTTAAGTCCATAAAGTCTTTGGGTGACGTCCCTTTTTTCATTCCTAGTATTATTTATGTGTTCATTATTTTTCTTGACAAGTCTTTCAGAGGTTTATTAATTTTATTAATCTTTTCAAGAACCAACTTTTGGCTTTGTTGATCCTATTTTATGTTTGTTGTATCTTTCATTTATATCGGCTTCACATTCATTTTTTCTTCTGCTTTTTTTTTTTTAGTTCTTTTTTCTAATGTCTTGAGATGGATACCTGGTCATTATTTTTCAATCTCTATTCTTTTGTAATATGTATATTTTCCCTAAGAACTACTTTTGTAAAAATACCACAGATTCTGATATGAAATACTTTTGTAGTCACCCATTTCAAAATTGCTTCTAATTTTCACTATGGTATCTTCTTTGACATTTAGAATTCAGAAGTATATTTCTTAATTTCTAAACATAGGGGATTTTTTTAAGTTATGTTTTTTATTTTTAGAATCACACATTGTGGTCAAAACAAACTTTCTATGATTTCAATTTTCTGAAATTTGTTAAGACTTGCTTGTACAGCTCATTACATGGGCCTAGATGACTTCACTGACAAACCCATCAAACATTTAAGGAAGAAATGCAACAATCTTAAGCAAACTATCCCAGAAGACAGAAAAAAAACAAGATACACTTCCCAACTTATTTTAAAAGCAGCCTTGATATGAAAACTCAAAAGAAATATGCAATTTATAGGCCTTTATAAATACACAATATGACTATGTTGAGTTTATCCCAGGAATGTAAAGTTGGTTTAATGTTGGAAAATCAAGCGAAGTAATTCACCATGTTAACAGGTCAAAAGAGAAAAATAATAAGATCATCACAATAGATGTGGTAAAATTATCTAAAAATATTCAATATTCATTCATAATGAAATCTCTTAATAAACTTCCTTAATTTGATAAAGTATATCTATTAAAAAGCTACAATAAATATCATAGTTAATGGTTAAACACTGAAAGCTTTCCTTCTGAGATCAGGTAAAAGGCAAGGATAATTTTATCATTCCTATTCCACATTGTACTGGAGGTCCTAGCTAATGCAGTACAGCAAGAAAAAGAAATAAAATTATAAGAATTAGAAAGAAACAAACAAATTTGTAGATGATTTCATTGCCCACTATGACAGTTAATTTTATGTGTCAATTTCTGGGCCACAGGGTGCCCAGATATTTGGCTAGACATTTTTTCTGAGTGTGTCTGGAAGAGTGTTTCCAGAAGAGATTAACATTTGAATCAGTAGACTGAGTAAAGCAGATTGCCCTCCCCAGTGTGAGTGGACCTCATGCAATCCATTGAAAGCCTAAACAGAATAAAGGCTGAATAAGAAATAAGTTTTCCTCTTTGCCCAGGTCTTTGACCTGGGACTTCAGTCTTCTCCTGCCTTTGGACTAGCACTTGGACTAGAACTATACCCGCAGCTCTCCTGGATCTTCCCCTTATTGACTGCAGATCTGGGATTTCTCCGCCTACATGAGTATGAGTATGAGTGTGAGTGTGAGTGTGAGTGTGAGTGTGTGTGTGTGTGTGTGTGTGAGAGAGAGAGAGAGAGAGAGAGAGAGAGAGAGAGAGAGAGAGACAGAGAGAGGGAGAGGGAGAGTGTGTGTGTGTGTTTCTGTTTCTCTGGAGACCCCAGACTAATACATCCATGAAGGAAAGTCAAAATATTGTACAGATAAATTATTTGAACTCATAAAAAATAAAATTTTATTCTATGTAACAGCATCAAAGTTAGAAAATAAAATTTAAAACTAATATTATTTACAACAGAATAAAAAATTTATCATGTAGCTTGGAATAAATATTACAAAAGTATAAGACCCCTAGGGCAAAAACTATAGACTCAGGGAAAGATTAAAAATGCAAATAAATGAATTATAATACCATTTTCATGAATTATTAGACTTAGTATTGTAAATATATGAATTCTCCTCAAACTGATCCAGGGAGTTACTAAAACCACAGTCAAAACCAAACAGGTTGCTTTGCTGAAATTGACAAGATAATTTCAAAACTTATATAGAAATGAAAACAGCTAAGAAAATCAGTCACATACTCTTAAACAAGTACAAATACTTCCTCCAATTGTTACTGTGATTTATTACAAAGCTACAGTAATAAGAATATGGTACTGGTGTAATGACAGACAGACAGATGAATGGAACATAAAACAGTAAGAAACAAGTCCACAGATTTACAACAAAAGTGGTACAACAGAGAGCATCGGGGGAGGGAGGAGTATTGTGGGAAGGCAGGGGAAGTGAATTAATAGTGAACAACTAGATACCCTTATGGAGAAGGATAAAACAACTCGTATTCATGCTTTACACAAAAATCAATTCTAGTTGGATTTTAGACCTATTAAATAGACCTAATAAAGTTCTGGGCATATAAAACTAGATAATATTTTCATGACCTCATGATAGGAAAGGATTTCTTAAACAGGACACAAAAATTACTACCCATAAGTAGATAGATAAACTTAACACATTAAAATTTTAAAATCATGTTCATCAAAAGACACCTTAAAGGAAGTAAAAAGGCAAAGATCTATGTTAACACATAAAACAAAAGGGCTTATATCCAGAATTTATAAAGAACTCCTAAATATTCAAAAGGAAAAAAAAGATAAAAATGCCAAATTAAAAAATAAGCAAAAACACTTATAAACTAGCATTTCACAAAAGGAGAAATTCAAATGGACAATAAACGTAAAAAGGTGTTCTAGCTCTTTAGTAATCGGGAAATGCAAGTTAAATCACAATGAAACTTACCAGACAACTAAATTAGTAAGTCTCATAATACTAAATATTGGTGATTACGTGGAACAATGGGAACTCTCACACACTGCCACCGAGTACAAAATGGATCCACTGCTTCAGAAAACTCTGCCATAATCTATTACAGTTCAATATATGCATACCCTATAACCTGGCAATTCCACTACTGGATATATATATACTGGGGGTGCCAAAAAAGTGTATACAAGTGGACACTTTGGTCAGTGTTGCTCAAGCAGTAGTTCGCCGTAATCAGAAGTGTCTGGACGCTGATGGTAACCACTTTGAGCACCTCTTGTAATTGCAGAAGTCAAACGTGACTTGTGTTCATCTTTTGCTATCGGTATATATTGAGTATTATAATTTTAATACAGTTCTCCTTTCTTAAAATGTGTATACATTTTTTGGCACCCTCTGTATATATCTTTTAGAGTTATACAGTCCAATATAATAGACACTAATCACACGTGGCTATTGATAACCTGAAATGTAGCTCCACTCAACTAAGATGGGCTGTAATAGCAAAATACATATCAGATGTTAAAGATTTATTTTTTTAAAAAAGAGTGTCAAGTATCTCAATAATTTTTAAACTGATTACATGCTGAAATGATTAAATTTATTGGGTTAAATATATTAAAATCAATTTCATCTGTTTCTTCTTACTTTTAAATATGGCTATGAGAAAAATTTTAATTACATATGTGGCTTATATTTATTTCTATTGAACAGCACTACTTTAAAGAAATAAGCACACACATTTACCAGAAGACCTGTATAAGAAGGCTCATAAGTAACATTAGTAATACCCCCAAACTAAAAAGAAACTCAAAAATCTATCTAGAGAAGAGATACATTGTGGCATATTCATACAATGGAATATATATACAGCGCGCGTGCGCGCGCGCACACACACACACACACACACACACACACACACAGAGTAACTATAGCTACATAAAATGTGGATATATCTTCAAAATAATATTGACAGAAAGCCAGATATAAAGAATAGATGCAATGGGATTCCATTCACAAAGTTCAAGATGAGAAAAAAAATAAACTGTAGTATTTAGGGACACATGTTTAAATGGTAAAACTATAAAGAAAAGCAAGGTAGTTACCTTTTGGAGAGTTCTATTGAGAAAAGTGTTAACAATGAGCTATTTCTAACCTGGGTGATGGTTAAATTGTATCTTTATGTATTATTCATTTTATAGTTGTGTGTTATATCCTTCACCATAGATATGGTTTTAAAAAGAGAATCCTCTAGCAAACAGAAA